AAAAAAAGGGATCTGGAGACATCGTGAAGAGGCTCGCTCCAGTGAGAAATTTCCCGGACACAAGGTCTGACCTAAAAATGTCTTTGGTAAGGAAACCACAAAAGAACAACAAACCCCTCAGCTTCATCATCTACAACAAAGAAAAACTGGGCATCTAAATGGGAAAACAGCTACCTAAGAATACATTCCAGGGGAGGGAGGGGGAAGAAGTAGGGAGTGGATATCAGGAGCTCAAGTGGGAAGAGAATGCTTTGAAAATGATGGTGGCATATGTGCAAATGTGCTTGACACACTGGAGGAATGTATGGACTGTGATAAGAGATGTAAGAGCCCCCAATAAAAGTATTAAAAAAAAAAAAGAATACATTCATACATATACAACTACTTGGCAGGTAAAGCAAGAGAGTTAATCTCCATCTGCTAACAGGGCTAAATCTTTACAATTCCTGCCAAGCGAGCGAGGCCGAGTTACAAAGTGACGTGTAGAATACTATATATGTTAAGCAAAAACAGTAACAGGACAAAACCTGTATTTCTGAGCATATACATACACAAATGCAAAGAAATATGTCAGGAAAGATAGGAATAATTGCTTTGAGAAGTACCAGGTTGGGTGGTTAAATGTTTTCGGCTGTAATAATGAAAAAAACACATAACAAGACAAAACAAAAACACGGAGAATGTACTCATGTACCCTTCATATAATTAGACCACCCTTTCTTTCTAAAAGCCCAGGTAAGCCATGCGTGAGGAGTCCACAGCATACTCACTATGCATTTTTACACCTCGTCCCTCTACTCCTCAGGTGCTACATGTGCCCCCGTGCAGATGAGGGGCATGACTACTTAACCCTGCTGGAATCCTGAGAGCTAAGCACAGCTACACTCAGCCATCCAGCATCTTCAAACTCCCAGAGTTTCCCGTGTTCCAGTCCCATGGGGAAACAGAACATTTTCCCCAGGCGGTAGGAAGAATGAAGAGCCCTGGAGTGAGCAGCAGAGTGCTCCAGACATGTGCTAAATAGCACCAAATCACTCTTCTAGTCACTGCCTTTGCTACTCCCATCAAATGACCTTCATTTTCTCGATGGGTCTGGAGGAGGTATGGGAAGCCACTGATTGGATTGTATGATTCAGCTGTGACTGTTAAAAAAGGTTCATTGTAACTACCAGCCTGCTGGGTATAGATGAGCCATCTCAGAAGCAACGAGGGAGGATTTTACAATCAGCAAAAGAAAAATGCCAGGATTGAATGCACCCTTTGGACATAGAGGTCCCTGCACACTGACCCTCCGTGATTCAGAAGACCGCTGTGGTAGAGCAGCAGCAACAGCAGAACCAGGAGCCACAGCATCAGACAGAGGGGCTGACTTGCCAGTGCACAGAACAAGCAAAGCGGAGGGCTTTGGGCAGGAGGCTAGCTTGTGGAGTGGAGTGCCTCTGGGCACTCAAATGGTGGAGATGGAGCTCAGTGCCTTCAGGTTGAGGCTTACACTGGAGTGACATGTCCTTTGGGCATTATTAGTAACTCTAAGAAAGCTTTGTAACATCATCTAAGCAGTGCAGAGCAGAGGCCAGGCTAAGAGGGGGGAGGACCAGAGAAAGGCCTGCCTGTGGGCAATGGCAGAAAAGAAACTGTACTGTGCTTGTCTCACCTGGATTGTAACCTGTTCACTTCCCTAATAAAGCCCATTAATTATGAGAATTACCTGAGTTCTATGTGGTCACTGCAATGAGTTATCAACCCAGCTGAAACATAGAGCAAGCTGTGAGAGGGACAGTGGCGTGAGAATAGGCTAAGAAGGATGGAGGATGTCTGAGCTCTGCCCAGTGGCAATCAGCCTGGGGAGGAGCTGGAGGAGGTCAGACACGGCCCCCTTTGGCACTTCTTTTCTCATTTGTAATGAAGTAGACAACACGGACTGTCTCATTACCACATATCAGCGTAAGCTTCAAACTTGCCCTTAAGCAGTCCAGAGATCAACTAAGAATAGGTGTATGAATCTTGACAAGAGACTCACAGGTGGGCAAAGTAACTTGCACAAACTATTCTTTCCTTTGTGGGAAGAAGTTCCACTGAACAAAAGAAATTTAGACATTTAACAGTTGAGAAAATGTTTACTCAAATGCCTTTTGGATAATTACTATTTTATCTTCAATTTTTGATCATTATTTTTAAGAGAAAAGTTCGACAGCTCTTAGCCAAAAGATCTTGTGGAATGAATGCAAAATCTCTGGTCTAGCTGGACTCGTGGAGCGCTGCCCGACTCCACGGAGATGAGTGACCACTGCTGAAAGCCCACTCTGAGCCCTAAGAGCCCAGTGTCACAGGGCAGAGCGGAGCTGTCAATCTTTCTCCCAGGGCTTACTGGTGGGTTGGCATCTGTGATCATTTAGTTAACAAGCCAACGCTCAACTCCATGGTACCACCTTAGTGCCTGGAAATGAATGACAGGTATCTGAAAATCAAGGTCAGCCCTCTAAGTGCTTTTTCAAATGTGGTTGCCTACAGTTTTTTGAGGGGTGGGAGGAGGGCCACAGAATTAGTTTATTAAACGTTACCTTATTAAAGTGATCTCCAATCACATGCCATATTCGGGACCATTGCAATCGGATCCGATTCATGTTGTAATATGATATCTCCACAATCTTCTGCAAACTGAACATTCGAGGGTGGTGGGGGGAAGCAAGCTCATCCATGGACACGGCACAGAGCCAGCGGACAAAGTCAACTACAGGCCAGACCCAACAACACATAGGAGGAGGCCCCATTAGTAATGGTCGCGCACATCATGAAAACATCTGCAGCAGTCACAGGAGAGTCAGATACATACCGATTGCATTCCCATCCAGCCTCGTGGAGCCAGTAAAAATCCTACAAAGACAATTCAGACATATAACATAAAAATTAGATTTGGAAGCTGAAGCTCCAATTCCATTTCTGAAGTAAGTAAACAACGATGCACCACCAGTAGGAATCTGGTCCATGAACTAAGTTGAAAGCAAAAATGCCCATCCAGTCATGTGCTGGACAACCTCCAACGCATATATATCTGTGGTCCCCAGAAGCTTATATTAAAAACAAGGAGTGCATACACGGATTATATTACGGCAGTCAGCGTTGAGGAACTCAAGATGGGAGCACGTCCGGAGCGGAAAGAGATCCCACTGTGGATCAAGTCTCCCGACGATTTAAGAGATCCTGAGGTGTTTCAGGTTCCGACGTGGCAGTTGGTAACCATATTTGGCCCCAATGGATCTCGAATCCCATGCCTCGAGCAAATGAGCAAGACTGTGCTCGAGCTGAAGTTTCTGGAGTCCTCGAGCGTGACCAAGATTGAGTTACAGGCCAAGTGGATGCTGGAGTCTCTGGCCCAGTGGCACCGCCACCGACAAGACCGAGGAATGCTGAAATGTGAGGAAGCCATGAATGGTCTCGAACTAGACCTTGGATTCAGTGAAGCCAGTTCCTAGCCCACCTGTATAGAAGAGTATAGTGTGCCCTGAGTTTAGTGGATCTGACCTAACAAGTTGGAGGAGAACAATGATTTGGGGTATCTGTCTTTGCCTCTGAATTCTGCAATGAACACTTGTTTCTAAGGTTTCAAATTAAAGGCCTAAATAAAAAAAAAAGAGGATTATATTACAAATTCAAGGTACATACAAGAGTCCGGAGTGGGAGTTGGGGGGATGTGTCCGTAATAAACAGGCAGTACTTTGTGATGTACATAACAATACTATGTTATTAAAGATACTTTATTGTGTCTGGAAGTGTCCCTTCTGTCTTCTACACAGAAAGATACTCTACATACTCAAACAAACATCGGACTGACTTCAGACACAAACTGTACTTAACTGTTGTGACTAGTGTATAAATTAGACTGGAAGTTAGATTGAGGAATGAAAACTTGTCCATAATATAATGTGTTCCTACATATTCCAAATGACCTAACACACTATTTCACAGACCGTATCACAGATGTCAAGCAGACCATGACTCTACTTACTGAAAGAAAAATACTTATCAAAAGAGGTAAGGGCTAAAATGTAATAGAAGGCAATTTCAAAGAGAATGACAATGTAAAAACCCTCCAAAAGGCCACTCTTCTGTGCACGGTTGTTTCCTGTGGTTAGGGGCAACCCCATGAACAACAAAACAAAACACTGCCTAGTCCTGTGCCATCCTCACAATCGTCATGACGCCTGCGCCCACACATGTGCACTATAATCAATGAAAAGAAAGGCAGGAGCAGAGAAGGGCAAGATTTCAAGTGTCTGCTGTTGGTGTACATTTCAATTCATAGCAACCCTAGGTGCCTCCTAGGAGTTTCCTCACTTTATGGACGCAGATTGCCAGGCCTCTCTTCCCGGGGCCCTGCGTGGGCTCAAACTACCAATGTTCAAGTGTTTAGCGATGTGCACCGCCAGGCGTCCTTTTCTAGCGTCTCCACCGTGGCAGAGGCAGAGAAACACGAAGGAAATGTGCAGGTAACTGAGACATAAGCTTTCTGTTCTCTAAGTCTAAACAGAATCTCCTGGGAAGAGAGGAGAGTGAGACTTCATGAACTTTGTACTTGGTATCAGGAAAGATCAGCCCCTGAAGAAAATGTCATGCTTGGAAGAGGAATGGGGCAGTGACTTAAGACAGATCGACACAGTAGCAGCAAAAATGGGCGCAAACATAGCAATGATTGTGAGGCTGGTACAGACCCAGGCAGTGTTTCACTGGGTTGTACAAGATCACTATGAGCCACAACTGAATTGACATGCCCTAACAACCACAGAAGGAGCCTTGGTGGCATGGTGGCATAGATACCCCAAGTTCAGCTGCTATGAGGAAACGAGAAGGCTCTCTGCTCCCTCGAGGGTGACAGTCTTGGAAACCCAAGGGGCAGTTCTGTCTGTCCTATAGGGTTGCTGAGTCAGAAGTGACTTGAGAGCAGTGAGTTTGCTTTGAACGACCTCAGGCTACCCCTCACTAGAAGGAGGGGCAAAACCTGTCCAAAGTAAATGACATGGCAGACACTACCTCTGTGGAAGAGGAAGAGAAACAACAGAATGGGGGCATCCAAAACAAACAGACCGAGAATTCAAAACACTAAGAGGATGCTTTTGGGGTCATTATGTGTGAGTGATGTAACACGCTGTACCGCTGGCACCCCAAATTGTCCATTTCATACAAACTTGGGGCGGTCATTAAGCAAGTGACTTCTGATTGAAAATATGATTTTTCGATCCTACTTTTCAGGAATTCCTCAATGTAAACTCACACTTGGTGAACTGTGTTCAAAGGAGCACACGTGTTTCCTCTGGTTTGATGGTGCACAGTCTGAGTGAGCAGAACTAATGGAAAGTTGTAAGAAGAGATCATGGACACTGTCAACTGTTTCAACTGGCACTCATGAACAACTTCTAAACCCAAACTCTGAGATGTTTTTAATTTTTGTGAATGAAATAAGGCCCCTTGAAATCTGCACAAAGGAAGATTTTTTTATGTGACAAAATGTCTTACAACTTTGAAGTTACCTTTAAAAACTTCATAATGCAAAAAATAACACCAAAAAACTTCATAATGCACCCTAAGGTCTAAATTCAAATTCATGTGAAAAAGAAATGCCATGTGAAGGTTATTAGTGATTATAACTATCTCATTTTTTAGGCTGAGTAAACTGACCACACTTAGAACAGGCTATCACATAAATCATGCATCATGCTCAGCTGTTTACTATGTCAGGGATACTAAGCCACTGGGGAGGCCAGCCTCACTGGAGAACAAATCCATTACCTGTCCACAGCAACAACCACGCTCTGTGAACTGGTCTCACCAACCGATTCCTGGAAGCTGGCCATCTGTCTTTTATCCACTCCACCACTCACCAAGTTACCTGAAACACAATGCACAGCATTAGTAGTGCTTCCAGCACAGTCAAGTATTTAGAACACAGAATCCTGTGGTATCAACTACACAGAGACGAGGCTGCTACTCGGACAAAAAAGCCAAACAAACCCCCAAACCCAAGAGATGACAGAAGAAAGGTAAACTCACGTTTTGGTATTCTGACCTTTAACATAGCACCATAGGACAAGCTCCCTGGCTGATCTCAGCCATTGTCATTTCTCTAGAGTTGTTTACATTTGCATAGGATTAAGTGCTGGTATTCCGAAAACTAATGGGAATTGATGGATACTAAGCAGAAGCAGAACTCTGTACCTGTACAGGATTTCACTCCATTTACCCTCATGAGCACCCAGGTTAGGAGGCGCTCTTGTTATTCCAACCCCCGATTTTCAGAGTCCATGCCTTGTACCAGTAGCCTACGCTAGTCTAACCCCTGTGCACAGGTCCTGGATTTAATTCTGCCTCTGCCACTCCCTTGCAGGGTAGGCTTGCTCAAGTCCTTTCACCCAGTGTGCCTCAATTTCCTCATATTCAAAATGGGAATGGGAATAGGCCTTAAGGAGCCTTGGGGGCACAGAGGTGAAGCTCCCAAGCACCTGCTGCTAACTAAAAGTGGGTGGTTTGAATCCACAAGCAGCTCCTCAGTAGAAAAGGCCTGGGGCTCTGTTCCATAAAGATGGCAGCCTTGGAAGCCCTGGGGGGCAGTTCTACTCTGTCCGAAAGGGTCGCAAGAGTCACACCCAACTGATGGCACGTAACAGCAGTCTCTATGCTATGGGGTATTACGAGGATAGGTCCTGGCCTGCATGTCTGGCCTTTTCGTTATATTTTATTGCAGTGCTTTACATCACTGACGAGACACTCTCAATCCCACTCAGAGCAAAAGGGAGTCTCCCTACACAAGAAGAACTTTTGATAAACAAACCAACCAACCCACCCGTATCCATACGGAAGCATGGTGAAACCCATATATCCAGCCCTGTAATACCAGGCACTACAGCTGTCCCCTTATCTGGACAGAAAGAGGAGACGCACCATCCCTGCTGACCTTTGCAAGAGACAATTTACTCAACAGCTGAACATAATTCAGAGAGCTGGTACAGCCCTTCCACTCCAGCAGTAAACACACTGCCAGCCGCACCTAAGGAAGAGGCACAGTGCATGCGTCCCTCCCGATGAGGCAGGTAACTGGTGAATCTGTGATCACTGGTATCTTACCAAGGCCAAGGCCCATGAACTCTTCTCCGGACAACGTGTGGCTCTTCAGGCTCCCTTCTCTTTCACGCCCAGACCCAGAAAGGTAGCGGGTTTTCACACCAGTTCCAATCAGCTGAGCAAGCTCCAACTGGCTTATGCATTTCAAGATCTAATGGAAGAAAGCAAGATGAGTTCTTGTTTCGCTTAATTAATTGCAAAAGGACACTGCCATCCTAAGTGATAGTCTTTACAGGGCTCTCTCAAGCAAGCAGCTCTTCAAACGTGAGCATCTTAGGATGACTTCACAAGAGGACAGGATGGTGGGGGAAAGGGTAGCAATGGTCCTGGCTAACCAGCCTTTTTGGGTTTGGGTCTTGTAAACAGATGGAACAAATTAGCAAGAGAAAAGTTGGTTCACTGGAGTTACATCCTGTATACATGCTTAATGATGCAACTCTAATCAGTACTCAGTAAAGAGAGAAGCTTTATTTAATTAGAATAGGGATTCTACCCACCACGCCTCTATTCTAGCACCTGTTACCTCTAACTCAGGCGTCCTCAAACTACGGCCCACGGGCCACATGCAGCCCGCCGAGGACATTTATCCGGCCTGCCTGGGTGTTTTTGCCTCACTTGTTTTTTTACTTCAAAATAAGATATGTGCAGTGTGCACAGGAATTTGTTCATAGTTTTTCTTTAAATTATAGTCCGGCCCTCCAACGGGTTTGAAGGACAGTGAACTGGACCCCTGTTTAAAAAGTTTGAAGACCCCTGCTCTAACTACTTAGACAAGAGTGTGGAGGGAAGCTGCAATTAACCTACTTTTTTCTAACAGCAGGCAATCACCAGAGGACACACAAGATCCATTCCTAATGTGTCTTGAAGTCTTTGGGTGGGATCTGTAGGTGAGTGGGAACAAGTGAACATGGTTCCTCCCTGCCTGGCTTTAGTGCAGGCACAGGCTTGCCGCCTTTCCAGGGAGATAAAAGCTGCATGTGCTGCAAGCGGAGGTGAGTGGGGTGAAGAGTTGGTGGTGAGGAGGGGTTGGTTCAATCATTACATTGAAGGGCAAATAGGAGTTGTCTGTCAATCAGATCTCAAAACCCCAAGAGAATGCTTGAATGCTCCATTACTTCATAATTCCCACTTTAAATAATAAACAGTACATATGAAAACTAGACACCAGGGACTTAATAAAAACTGTCACTGTATTTATCTACTGTCATTAAATGCAATTCCCACTGTACACAGAGCAGAACTGTTCAACAGAGTGCTTTAAGTAAAAATCATCCACACACTTCTATCCATCCCTAAGATAGGATGCTCACATTCTGGTTAATGCATTCAGGCCTGAATCTCTGTTTCTTGGCACAAGAGTGTGTGCATCACAATGTTTTGGGATGGCTTTTTATTTACTATCCTGTGATCATTTTCTGACAACATGAGAGTCTTTCTAACACCTTTTGCTTTTTTCCCTCTTGAAGTCTCTAAATCTGTAGGTTCCTCCAACTAA